TTTCTGAATCGTTAAACAAAGCGCTTTCAATCTATTGCACCTTTTGGAGTTATCTCGATTCAATGAGTTTGCATTTCATATGTAAATGGGATGCATGTCGCTTGTAAATGGCATGCGGAATGGATGATAAGCGATTTTAAACCAACCGTTCCATTTGAAATCGTTAAAAGTGCAACACGGAAACCGGCAAGTCGTGATTTTTCAATTGAAATCTCGTCGATGACTTGATGTCTTCATTTAATCAACATTTATCATGATTGGTGTCGAATTCATATCGAAAATTAATTCGCTTGGAATGATCTAGTGCAGTACCGCATTTGCGACGACATTGCATTTGTCACCTGGTTTGCACACAAACAAATTCAATTAATTTTACGATTTCCATATAATCCAAACGCCTTAATTATCTGATTTATGGATTTTGAGTCCACTTCATTTTCATTAAAACAACCACTGTTTATGTGCTGTTGCTGCATATTCTCTCCCTCTCTCTCTCTCTCTCTTCAATTTTCGTAATTGTTCAATTTGTTCGCTTATACACAATAATGAAATGACATTCCGACAAGTTATTTATTGGATGCATTTAAATGCATGGCATTTTGCACGAAAGACGTTTGGTTTTCACTTGATAATTGTTGGCAGATCGAAATGTCAACAGTGATTAAGTCATAATGAGAACATTTGCTTGCGTCTTGACACTTTTGGATATATCGGAATGATATCACTAAACACACTCAAGCCACCAATCATTCTGCCAGGATTAAGTGTAAGCGAGAATGCATGCACGTAAAAAGTGTCACACATACACAGACACACACACATAGATATAATTCAATGGCAGTGTGCGAATGCATCTTGAATGTGGTGCGGCTTTCCGTTCCGTTCTAAATATCATCTCATCTTCAAGGGTAGCGGAACGAATGAACGAAAATGGCAAAATGGCAGAAAGAAAGCAACAACAAACATCAGCACGACTACGTGAAGCATGAAAATGGAAATCACCAAAGCATAAAACTCATAACCAAAATGCAATATGCAACTGTGGTTGCCTGTCGTCGAATATTATCTTTGCTCCATTAACACCAAAACAGTTAAATGAGCATAATAATTGTTAAAACCCAAAGCAATGATTCGGAGATTTTTCGCACAACATCCTGTACTTTATACATGTGGCTATATTTAATAATCATATACCCAATACGATATTACTTTAAAAATGAAATTTCATGATTTTCATTATTAAAAATGGATTTTGTTGGCTTAAAATTGCGATTTTAATCGAAAATAAAATGCGAATCGAAATTCGAATGAAATGGAGGAAAAAAGCAAATAAATGATTTAGCTGAATATGGTCTTTGAATGAATCCTTGCAAATAGCCCCCGTTCGTCGATTTTGATGAAATTTGATATTGCTAATTTGTTGTTCAAACACGAATGAAGTATTTTAAATTCGATTAATCCGGCATTAATCAATTAAATGTACATTGGAGGCAGGCAGGCCTCCCACTCATGCATACACACGTGCCCAACGACAATCCAATTTTGAATATAACAAAGTGTGCAATGGCTACAGTGTTGCGGTCGCTACACCGCAATCAACACAGTTTCTACCTCTTTTTTAGTAGTTTTTTTGCTACACACATGTTTATTCTAATTGAATTCGATTAAACAATTCATGATAAATCTCACTACAAACACATACACATGCACAAACATGGAATTATTAAACATAATCAAGCGACTCACAATGTTATCGCTCCGAAACAAATCGACATATTCGTTTTTTATTTGGCCGGTGGAAAAACACCAAAAATCCAAATGGTTTATTTCGACGCACGCCATTTTCCATATAATAATCATCAAAATTGTATGCAATTTTAAAATCACTAATGAAAAATATTGTGGATTTAATTATTTTAATTTTGACGCAGTGTGACAAAATCCGTTAAGCACTCAAATATGGTGTTTAATCAATCGCATGGAAAATGTTCCATTGTTAAGGTGAATTGAAAGAGGATTTTCTCTACATTGTGCGATCGAATGGAAAATATCGATTGATGACAATAATTTTTAATGGTTGCTATTCTCTTTCAAGTGAAAATGACTTGTCCTCCTCCCCTTTTTTCCGTTAGAATTGAATCGAGGTGGAATTCTAAATTAAAGGCATCGTCATCCAGGTCAATTTGTAGCTCATCACTTTTGGCTTCTAGAGTATCAGGTGGAAAGGGCATTCTTTTTTGCAATTCTCTTGATTTTTTTTGTCTTCAATTGCAGCTATACATTCTCAAATATCAAAAAGTTCTTCTCAATTTAAGAATCTCAAATAATAATTTGGCATGTCGTTGTACAATTGAACAGTTTTTTTTTCGTCGTTCTGAATTTTATTCCACTCTGCTTTGTTCGAAATAGAAAAAAAAAAGATTTTCTATCCATCGTGTAAAACTTTTGTAATGAACTTAAGCACAAAAAAGGCTGTAACAAAAGCGCATTTTTTTCGCGTCAGCATTTAAATGGACAAAATTAAGTGAAAAAATGAAAAGTAGACAACCCACATTCATTTTCTTTTCGGCCATGCTCGACGGTTGAAAAAGGCGAAAAGAAAATTGAGAAAGAAAACGGCTTATCTTTCACAGAAGAAGAGACGACGAACGATTCGAAAGGGAGAAAGAAATGAATACAATGAGATGGCGGCATTTTAAATAAAGAAGTAGGATGATGAAGAAAAAAAACAAACTATCCACGAAATGAACCAGAATGAATCGTCATTGAAACTACGACATAAAAACAAATTAGTAGCAACAACAACCAGCTTATTCGAATGAGCACCGTGTGGCACAAAATGAATGGCACAGAAGAGAGAGAGTAAAAATTACGGAAAAAAACGCGGCAAGTATTTTTAAGTGTTTTCATAATTTTTGTACGAAAACTTTTCTAATTAATTGCAGAGAAGAAATTTATTTGAGCATTTGCATTAAATGCATTAAGAACTGTGTGTGTATGCGTGTCTCTATCTGTGTATGTGTGTGTCCTCTCTGTCACTCCGGTGCAGCAACAGCGTCACCAACTTCGCACCATCTCGGTGAGTGCTTTTTTATCATTAGTTATTGCAGAATGCAAATGACATAAATAAGGAACGGATTTGGGTATTCGGTGGAACGGTTGTTGGCAAAAGATGCCGAATGCGGGCAACGATGACTACAACGACGACTGAAATGTATGCGGCGAACAAAATAGACAAATTTTAAGCATATTAAATGACAAAAGAACTAAATTCGTTGTCAACTCATAATTGAATGCAGCTCATCTGAAGTGCGGAGGGATAGAGAAAGAGTGAGATTGAGGTAGTCAAAAGCGAGCGTTATTTGAATGCATATATTTATTTAATGCATAGTTAACTATCGAAAATCCTTGCTCAGAAACGAATTGAAATGACGAAATTTCATGGAGAATTCCTTCACAAATCAGCTAACTTTTTGTGTGTTCATTTGCAATGCAGCACCAGTTGCAAAAAGAAAAAAATTCCAAACTCAAACAAATTTTTCACTTATTATAGCAGAATGAATGTCGTTTTCACATCTCAATCGAAGCATTCACAAGATTCGCATAAAATACTCGAACTGTATACTTGAGAAAAAAAACTGGGAGAAAATGAGTCTTTTCACCAAAGTTTTTTTTCCCATTCGATTCCAGTAACAATATGTTGTCATCTATTTTATTTATTTAATTTCATTTCGATTACTCATGCGCTGACGTATCGCAAAATGCATCACGAATTTTCCACATAAAGAATCTCCTTTTATTGGCTCTGCTGTGCAAGACACACAAAAATCTGCTAACAAAGGTAAATTTCAATCCGAAATAAACACGTTCTATGTTAGACATTCGTATGGGTGAATGAATGTAGCGAAAACCGTTTAGATGGCAAGCGTGGAAAATATGGGACAGACATAGGGAGAAAGAGAGAGATAGAAAAAAAAGCAAAGTCTTCAAAGTGATTGCATGCGAATCAACTCAATTTCATTTTAGGACATTTTTTCTGTTGAGAAATGCCAAAACCACTTTGGCGTTTTCTCTCGTTCATTCTCTTCATTTCAACATGATTGTTGGATATGTATGTGTTTGCGCGCACCAACTACTCACTATATACTTCAAGTTCAATTCTTTTTCGATTTTCACTTCTTTTGTCCCCCGTATCATTCAAAGAAAATGGAAAATTTATTGAATTTATTTTAACAAGAAATATGTTTGCCAGGCGCTCACACATTTCGTTCGTTGATGTGTCTGCGTGTATGTTTGTATATGTGATGCGGATGCAGAAAGCGAGAACGAGTGGAATACATCGCCGATACGATTAACAGAAAAAGAAGCAGAAACACACGAATTATCGTCATTGCACATTCTTTGAGTGGAAGAAAAGATGTGAAAGAACCAGCAAACTGCATTTGGGATCGTGTGCGCGCATTACATACACCAACTTTGTCGTTAGTCACACGATCACAGAGAGAGAGAGAGAGAGAGAGAGAGAGAGAGAGAGAGAGAGAAAAAGAGAGAGAGAGAGAGAGCACAGAATGTGAATCCGGGTGAAAGAGTGACAGACGCTTTGATAATTCCGCGCAGCAGATTGGTGCATGCATGCACTTTGTTGTTCATACACAAAAGCCAAACTATTTCCGTACAATGTTATCAAAATCCTTTGTTGGAGCGCCCCATTTTTCTCATCCTAATTCAATATTATGTCATCATCGCTACTGATTACCCCACGATGCAATTCGCCGGAGAATACAATCTCTAGTTCGTTTCGGTTATTTTCATCCATTTCTCGCTCTCTCAAAAACACATCTTATCGTTTATTATCTCATGTTCAAGTTTATATTTTTAACGAAAAAAAACACTGGTTTTGATTTATGGTTTAATTCAAAAAACATGCAAAACTTTCTTTTTCGATTATTTTGCGTTTTCAAAATATAATTTATCAAACAAAAAATGGTTTTATGTGTTACCTTTATTTGCTTTGTTTTGGATATTCCATCAATCCAAGTCAATTCAATCAGTTCGGTTGCAATTGTGTTTTGATTTAATATTGAATCCGATAGCCTGCAATAAAGTCGATAATGAAAACGGAAATGAGACTTTTTTTACAAAAAAAAAAATGGGTTTAAACATTAAAAAATTATACACAAAAAAGGGATGTGCGCACATTACACACAAAAAAAAACTGTAGATGAATGAGAGCGAAAGAGTAATGTATGAAATTTATTGTGGACGTATGCCAGCGGGTCTAGATTTTTCGGGGTACACACTCTCTAACCGTATAAAGCATGAATTTATTGATCATGTTGATATTAAATTTACAAAAGAAGGCTTTCGTTCGAACTGGTTAGCATTTTAAAGAGGATAAAATATGCGGCTTTCCTTGTTATTTCTTCTCTTATCCCAGGGGCGCTGCTGTACGCGCGCTCGTGCGCTTGTTCGCACTGATAAATGCAACAATAAATGTTTCATTCTGGAATATGCCAAGACACATAAAGCCAAAAGCGAATGAAAATGAAATAAATTTTCCATTGAGGTTGTTCTCTCTGTGAATCAGTCGGTTTGGTCTGTCGGTTGGTCGGATGTGAAAATTAGTACGTAGCTGCAAAATAACCATGTACAATATATAAGAATATTGTGTGTGTGCGTTTTTATCTCTATCTCTCTGTTCGCTTTCGTCGTTTTCTATTCGCTTTACGTTTTGTTTGGAATGATGTATACGGTATGAGGGCGGCATGCCATTGCCAGCAGCCAACATCACAGTTTCACCAGAGTACCGGGAAAATATTCACGTCTGTTACATTTCTTCCGCTTTTACAGCTGCTTTCTTTCGCTTTGCCACCATTTTTCGTCGAGCTCTTTTGCTGCTTTTACGAATTTTAAAGTCGATGAATGTTTGGATTTGGATTTTTGGATTCACTTATAATGACTCGCTTTTCTTTACTGACTTTTCTGTTTCGGTTGCTGCTGCTGCTGATGCCTGCTGATGCGGCGACTTAGCTTATGTTTGTTTGAAATACTTGGTTGAAATTGGGAAAAGAGATGGTTGCCGTGTCAAGTAATACGCATCACATTTTGAGCCGACCAAATGAAGAACGGGAAATTTATTCACAACATTGGGCTATAATATAAGCGATTTAAATGAAGATACCAAATGAACAAAACAAAAAAAAATGAAAAAGTCAACCATTAACAAAGCAGAATCCGCATATAGTTAGATGAATGTGGCGAAAATGCTGTGAGCGCAATGTATTTAGCCAGCCGAAGGATATAAATATTTAACTGTACAACTTGTTTAATATAATAATAACGGAAGATAGAATGAGATTGCTCTTTTTCTCGGTTTGCATTGTGAGATTGCGTTTACGTTGAAGGGAAAATGAAGATAGCATATCAGCGCTTATTAAGCGTTCAAATCGAACATACACACAACGATGGTGTCAGCTTTTTTATGTATGTGTACAAGTGCGGTCAAATGGAAACGGCATTTCTCCAAAAATGGATTTGTGTGTTGGCTTTTTTCGTCGTTGATTTTGTGTTTTTATGTTTGTGTGCCAAAAAAGTTTGCATTAAGAATTGCTGACATGATACCGGCCGCCTCGGTTCCCCCATTAGCACGATACATCGACCGTTGGTTTTGTAAGCCGAATGAAGGGAATTTGTGATGGTTGTGCGTTTTCAGGTTAAAACCCATCTAACATTTGATTTCAACCGAAAGAATAGAAATGTTTTCTTTTTCCGTTGCAGGAAATTATACACCGTATCGTATTCAATGTCAAACATAAATTTTATCCAACATCGACCCGATAAATGGTCAACGAATTCCAAACAAAACCATGGTAGCAGGCCAATTTCCACCATATAAACATCTATATGACGTAGGTTCAATTGAAATTGGTTTCCCGATTGTCCCGAAACTTTTACATTTTCCTATCGTTTTAATAATAGATGCTTTTCTTTTTGAATGCGGTACATTTCTTGGAAATAAGAAAATATTTTTCATAAGTTTGCAACATACGTTCGCACGTATTTCTTTGGGTTGTCTTGACAACTTTCAATGTTTCCGAAAGGTGGATTCTTTGACACACTACATATATATATGCACTACAATGAAAATTAATAATTGGTATAAGCTAGAAGTTACTCTAGCGACCGTGGAGTAAATACAAACTAACGGAAACAGAGCGTTTCCACGATAGAAAATTAAGCTTAACAGCTATAAGTTGATTAACGTAATCCCAAGATATACAATATCATATTTTGGCTTAAGGTTGTTATGTCGAAGCTATCGGTGCTTTATTCTGCTCAAATAAACAAACCGTGCAATTATTTGCAATAATAGTTTTCGTTGCAATAAATTCATAAGATGGAAGATAAGAAGTCGATTTTATTCATGTTTTTTTTTCATTCACGTCTTCGCTGATTTTTCTTCATTCTCAGCACAAATACAAAGTAATAATTTTAATGACTACTTCGTTATGGAAGATGGTAAACATTGTAGCAAATTTAACTCAATGGCTCTTTTTAGCAGAAGCAACATCATGAGCAGCCGTTTCAGAAAGGAAAAAAAGCGCAATATTCTCTTTATCCACCTTTTGAGGAGAAAAGTTTTTCTACTTAAAAACGAACGAAATAAAAAAAATTTGGTTCGCGTGCTCTTTTTCTCTGAGCGAATGCAAGTTAGAAAGTCTGCCATCAGCTTTTTTGTAGTTTTTCCTTCTCTCCAATTTGTAAAAATTATGATTTGTCTCTTTCATTCTCTGTCGTTTGTTTCTGATTGTTCATCTGGATGCGAGTGCGACGACAGCAAAGAAGAAAGGAGCTCAACAATAACACACACACACATAGAGAAATGAAATCAGAAAAAAAGTAAAGAGAAAAAGAATAAATGGGAGAAAACGAACGAAGGAATCCATAGTAATTTTTTTCTATAGTATTCCATTTCAATGCAATATTAATTTCATATTTTATCCATTTTCTATGGCATACACCATAGCATTCTTCGCATCAAAGGATTACGATTTAAAATAATATGGGTTATGAGTCTTGAAAGAGAAGTCGCTTCGGTTGTTTTAAATGAAATCACTTTGGACGACGAGATTTGATTGTTTGCCACACAATTATAAGCACACAGAACACCAATACCGGTTAGTACGTATCTCATTCGCTTGAAAGCACTGGCAATCTTGTAAATTAAATATATATCATGTAGAGAGAAAATACTTCGTTCATGTCAGTTCGTTTCACTGTTTTTAATCCATTGTAGTCCAGCACTTAGCTGCATTATTTCAACGTTTTTGAAATAAAATCCGAGCAAATACGACTTGTTTGTGCTTGTCACAAATCCTTAAAAACCTTTCACAAAACAATTCCATGACAAAAGCAAAACCAGATTGACAGCAAGCATGAAACACTGAATGAATTCATATACTACATACATAAAAACAGAGAGATGCAGAGAGATTGACATAAAAAACAACAAGTTATGGCATATTCAATACTCTTTGTGTGTGTTTATTCATTTAATTTGAAAATAAAATCGAATAAATTCTACCTACCTCCCGCTGCTACTCTCTTGTCCTCTCTCTCTCATTCAATTGTGTAAGAAATTGCACGAAATGAATTAAACTGTACCGAATTACTCTCTAACAGCAGTATAAAGCAAAAATTGTTGTAATCGCAATGATTTTGTGCAACTTATTTTCAATTGAATAGATCTTTTAAAAAAATTGAAAGATAATGATGAAAAAGAGTAAGCGATGGATTCTATCACAAAACAATTCAAATTAAATTCCATTAAAAATGAGCGCAAGCAAAAAGTCTATCAATTTCCATCCGATCTCAGATCCATCAGAAAAAATATCAAATTATCAACATCATCGTCTTGTTTTATAATGATTGCAGTTAGATCAGCTCACTTTTTGTGTCACAATCATTATTTTCCATGCAATTAAGAAGAGGGAGAAACAGAAGACGAAGAAGAAAAAATGATACTGAAATAAAAATGCAGAGAATTTGACAAAAAGAATGGTGCCCTATCACCATCGGCTACGCTCTGCCCAAATGAATTTTAAGAGGACAAAATTAAATTCCAGCACAATGTATAAGTGTGTGCGCGTTTGTTTCAATCGTTTTAATTAGAAACGTGTCATTTCGACACCATTTCTAATTCAATTTTGATTTATAATACACTTTTCTTAAACTTTGCCTTTTTGAGACGGACGCGTGCTCTCGCGCACAAACGGCACACAAATTCTTGCCAAGAATTTGTTCCGGAAGCATTTTACGAACGGACAGCAATTTCTTTCTTTCTTTTTATTTAACTTTCTCAAATTGACAGTGGAAAATTGGAAAAAATGAAAACGTTTTGCTTTGTTTCGTCTCTACGAAATTCATGACTCAATCTTTCTGCTGAACTTGGCTTTTTAATTCATTTCTTCCCTTTCATTTATTGTGTCGTTCAACACTCGTTCTCTCACTTCATTTTCAGTTGAGCATTTCTTATATTCCATTGAATTTCTTAATTTGTGTATCAATTTTTTCGGTCTCTATTCAGTTTCGACACCATTGAGAAATGCAATCAGCTCCAAAATGAAAACAGAAAAATCGACCATCAACATTTGAATATTCGGTGCTGATGTCTTTTGCTGCAAAATCGAAAGCACAGCGTGAATCCGCACATTGGTACATACATTTGGATAGACCAGCCATATTCAGTAGTAACATATTTCGATGAATTCTCATATTTCTCTTTCTTATTCCTTCGCGCACTCTCTCTCTGACTGTCTCTCCTCCTCTTCCTATTCGCTGTTAGTTCTTTTCGTCTCTCGTTTTTGTGCCCTTTTTTTTCGTTCACTTTGTGCCGTGCTTTCGTGTCGTCTATTCAACTTTTCTCTTGTTGGCCTTTTCTGGCCTTTCTTCTTTGATTGTTTGATAGGAATGTGTTCGCTTTTTTTGCTATTGCCAACTTTTTTTCGCCTAAGTCAATTCTTGGGGGCAACACTTAGCCATGATTACCAATTCTTTTTTTCGGTGCAGCATGTTTTCACTTGTCTACGACTTTT